CTGTTTATTAAAGCTAGTTCAGATGGAGCAAACGAGTTGTCTTCCTTGATGGAGAGTTATTGCAATGCCTCAGGCCAGAGAATAAACTTAGCAAAGTCTTCAATGTTTTTCAGCAAGGGCACCCCGAACACGCTAAAAACAGAGGTAAAAAACATTTTGAATATTCCAAATGAATCTCATTCTGACAGATATTTGGGTATGCCCACCGACGTGGGAGCAAGCAAAAATGGAGCATTTAAATTTCTTAAAGACAAAGTATGGAGCAAGGTAAAGGGGTGGATGGAAAAGCTTTTGTCAGCCGGAGGAAAAGAGGTTCTGATAAAATCTGTTGCACAAGCGGTTCCAGTTTACTCTATGTCATGTTTTAAGCTCCCTCGAGGCCTATGTGAGCATATCAATATGCTCATCAGAAAGTTTTGGTGGGGTAGCAAAGAAGGGAAACGGATAGCGAGTTGGGTTTCATGGAGCACTATGACCATGCCAAAATTCTGCGGTGGATTGGGATTTCGGGATATTGAGCTTTTCAACCTAGCTTTGCTAGCGAGACAAGCCTGGAGAATCTTAATGGACCCGGAATCACTTAGCGTCCGCGTCCTAAAAGCAAAGTACCACCCTACGACGGATTTTTTGGGTGCTGAGCTGGGTTCGGCTCCCTCCCAAATCTGGCGAGCAATCATGGATGGACGAGAAGTGCTAAACCAGGGGTTAATCCAGCGAATTGGTGATGGCCAAACCACGCATATTTGGAACCAAAACTGGCTACCACGCCCGGCTAATATGAGACCGATTGTGAGTAGAATAGCGAATCCACCTCAGTGGGTGCACGAACTGATATTGCCAGGTGCACAATGGGACAATACGGCGATCTCAGAGATCTTTCTCCCAACAGACGCACATGCGATCATGTCAATACCCTTGTGCACGAGACACATTGAGGATTTCTGGTCTTGGATCCATGAAAAGAATGGGGTTTTTTTCGTAAGATCGGCTTACCGCATGCTAGTTAACACCAAGATGAGGAGAGAAGCATGGCTAGAGGGCCGAGGCAATTCCTCAGATTTGGACAGAGACTCGAAGGCATGGCAGCAGTTATGGAAAGTTAATGTACCCCCCAAGGTGAAGATCTTTTTATGGAGGCTCGCTCAGCAATCTATCCCGACGGCAGACTTGCTACATCACCGAAATATGTCCACAAGCACACGGTGCGGCTTGTGCGGGGCAGAAGATTCATGTCAACACTCTTTACTACACTGCACAATCGCCTGTTGTGTGTGGGCGCTGCAAGACCCAGAGCTATTTGAGGCTTTGAATAACACAACAGAGCCGGGCGCGAAGAGATGGTTGTTTGCCCTCTTGGATATGCTTTCGCTGACAGAGTTTACTCAGGTTGCGGTCACCATGTGGGCGCTCTGGCACTCACGGAGACAGGCGCTGCATGAGAACATATTCCAGAGTCCTTTGTCAACGCATGGCTTCATCTCCAAGTATATCCGGGAAATCGAGGAATGCAAGCCCAAAGTGATTCGAGGAGCAGTGAACCAAAATGGGCCCAGGGTCAGGCTAAATGGATACCTCCGCTGACAGGAATGGCGAAGATCAGAGTTGATGGAGCAACTGCGAGAGATACTCCTGATGGTACGTTTAGTGCAGTATGCAGGGATGAAACGGGAGTCTTCCTAGGAGCCTCGGTGATCAAGATTCCAGGAGTGGTGGATCCGGCTACTCTGGAAGCCTTGGCGTGTCGTGAGGCGCTTGCCCTAGCGTCAGACTTGCATCTTCCCCGGCTTTTTATTGCTTCAGACTGCCAGGGTGTAGTCAGGGACATCAAAGAAGGCACAGGAGGATTATATGCTAGTACTATCAAGGAGATCAAGGAGACGGCACATGATTTTGATCAATGCACTTTCATCTTTGAGGGAAGATCGACAAATATCGAGGCACATAGCCTCGCTAAACACGCTTTTGGGTTAGATTATGGGCGCCATGTATGGCTTATAAACCCACCAGACATTCATTGTATCCCTATGAACTTTTATGATCAATAAAGTGTGTTTAGCTTCAAAAAGAACATACTTCCATTTTTTTGTTCTATCAAGCAAGGTCAAAGCTAATATGATTCCAACAGCTTTAGCGTATTTTTTTACCTGAAAAAAGAAGCTTTACAATAATTACAACAGGATGCTTCAAACCCTCCCGAAACGTCTGGGCGTACAACCGAGTGCTCCCCCCCCTCTCAAGACAACCCAAACATTCAGACTGTCCGATACCCCTCAAACCCAACACATATGTGGAGCGGATATTGGTTGCCCAGACATGTCCACGTCGAATATGACAGACCGGGCCCATCCAAAAATTGCTCAAAATTGACCAAGTCCATCAAATTGACCGCACTCCTTCCGCGTCCCTCCTCCATTTCCCGTGTCTGAGCCGTTGTCCTCCTCCACCTATGCCGTTGTCCTTGTCTGTGGTAGTAGATGTTGACGCCGAATCCCCCGTCCCCCACCGTCGACATGGGTGATACATGTTGACATTTTTATCAATCCTATTTTCAAAATACACATGGCATTTTTTCAAATATACATTGAACATTTTTCGGATACACTCCTAAACATTTTCCGGATACATGTTGAACACTTGTCAAATGCACGTTGAGTTTCCAAACTACATAGTGAATAATTTTAGGCACACGTTAAACATTTTTCAAAGATGTTGTCAAATATTTTTCTAAATACAGAGTGAATGTTTCTTAAATGTGTTGAATATTTCTTAAGAGACACGGTAAAATTAGTAAAATAAATCATAAAAATGTTTCCAACACACTCTTTTTAGTTCACTTCGAACATATTATAAATGCACGGTGATTTTTATTAAATACTTTAAAATTTTGTAGTATATGCAATGAAATTTTTTAGATACACCATGATCAGTTTTAAAACACATAATGAACATCTAAAAATATATATTTCTTTATTGGAGAAATACAAACAATTTTATGATACATACATGAGTACATTATAATACATGCCGATAATTTTTAGTTCAAAATGATTCTTAAATGCATAATGAATATTTTTTTAGTTCACTATGTTTTTAAAGATATGTCATGCACATTTTCAATACACGATGAACATTTTTTAATACATGTTGAATTCTTTTTAGTACACAATAAACACTTTTCAATATATGGTAAAAGGTTTGGAATTACACTATGAACAATTTGAAAAACACAACAAAGTATTTAAATATACGAAGAATAGTTTTTAATACACTATGAACACTTTTGAAAAAGTGTGCACACATTTTAAAAGTATGTTCATGTAATTATAAAAGGTGTAAAATACACATGATGGGCGTTTTTATATTACACGATCAACATGTTTGAATTACACTATGAACAATTTTGAGGGCACAACAATCAAGTTTTTAAATACATGATGCACATTTTGTAAATACACAATGATTTTTTTAAGATGACAAAACATATAATTATTTCCAAAGACACGTGAACTTTTTTATATATCCACAAACATTTCTTTGTCGTATGTGGACACTTTTTTTAGCGCGTGTTTTTTACCCGAAAGAATAGAAAAAATAGAAATAAAATGTTAATAATGATTGAGCGTTCGCTCCACTAGCTTTTTTTACTAGGTGCGTTGCAAGTTGTAACTTTTTCTGTTTTCCGCGGAAGTGTGTTGCTAGCCTTTTCTGCTCACAAAGTAGCAATGCCCACTCACGGCGCCGTTGGCTCACCTGTCCCTAGGAAGCATCGGATTTAGCTAGCTCTCTGTTTACGCACCCACCCACGCTGTTGTTTCCTAGCACGGGCCCACACACGCATGTATGCCTTTTCCGGTGAGCAAATTCATCCGGCCGGTAAATGCCACCTTTATGATCGTGTTGTTCCATTCGTCCACTTAGCAGGAGCAGGCGAGCTCGTCCTGCCTTTCGCCGTTCTCATTATCCAAGGTCCTTTATACCATTGATTGAAGCAGCCACTGATGGCATCCATGAGGAGAGTACGCAATACTGCTGCATCGGAGTTGAAGCAACAGCACCGCTCGGCAGGCACGATGCCGTGTGCGTCAGGCATGGATGCTGCTCTTTGTTCAACCTGATGGAATCGTTCCTCTCGCTGTTCGACCTGATGGGATCGCTCCATTCACCTAAATGTCACAATGAAGTTGCCTTTCTCAGCGGACGAGGAGAAACAAACGACATCGAGCGAAAACGCCAAGATCACAATGGGTTGACCTCGTACCTTGTCAGGATATATGTCGATGACGGAACCTCGTCGGCGTCGATCACATCGGGCGGACGCGGCGCGCTGGCCTAGTGCTGGGAGGAGTCGAGACAATGGAGGCGGACCAGAGACGGGAGGAGGCAAACACGGAGGTGAGGTGCTGCCTGAGGAAGGCGAGCGGCGGCCGAGGAGCCAAGGGGCGGGCTGGGGCTGGCGCCGGCGCTAACCCTAGCACGAGGTTGAGATGGGAGAACTGAGCGAATTGCACGTGGTGCGTGAGGTGAGAGAGATGTGGGCTGGCTCACGAGGCATTGCTCGGCTTGGCCCATGTGCTGGACGAAGTGGTTTTTTTAGCGATGGAAAAACTGGATGGGGAGCGTACGTCAGGTGGAGCAAGGTGAGTCGACGAAAAGTAAGAGGGGAAACGGAATGTTTCGTTTATTTTAGGTAGTAGAAAAGAGATATAGATAAAGATAAGTAGGAGGGTTGATCGTACTTACCATGTCATGGCAAGATTATTCTAAGATTGTTAGTAATGTATCATCCTCAAGTGTCGCTGTGAAAGAGAATTATTTATTTCCCAGCAAAAGAAGAGAGAATCAGTTATTCACCAATTTATTGATCCTTTTAGGAGAGATCAACTTTCGGCAGAAAAGGGAATCATACACGCATGCGTGTAGTCGTGTAGAAGCTATAATTTTTTGGCAAAACAAAACATGGCACGTACGAAACTAATCATGTCAGATTGTTTCATGGGAGATCACAGGAAAACCTTTTCTGCATTGGCCACCACCCAGCTGTCGATCTCGTTCTTGAGCCTAGACTGCAGCGCGAACGTCCCCTTCACGAGGACGACGCACATCCTCTCAAGCACAAGAGCGTTGCCGAACAGCAGCCTGGCCATCATCCTCTGCGTCTCGTCGCCCACGTAGTGCACCATGTTGATCTCCTTCACTCGGTGCCGCAGACACGGCATCGAGAAGCTCGACTCGTCAGGAACCATGGACTCCTCATCAGGAGCTACCAACGAATCATCCGCATCCTTCTCCTTCTCCACGGCGTCATCCTCCTCATCTTCCTCGCTCATGGTCAGGTCCCTGCCCATGGTATCATCTTTCTTTTTCGTGTACACGACATGCTCTTCCATGTAGAGCGACAGGACCTCCAGGTTCGGGGTCTGCTCCAGGATTCTACCCACGGAGACGACGGTGCCGCAGTTCACGAGGGGCCCTTGCAACACGAGCCGCGTCAGGGTAGAGAATGGAGGGAAACCTAGGAAGAACCTGCTCTCCAGTCTACGATGGTGCAGGTGGAGGTGCTTGGCATCACTGATTTTTTGCATGAACACCCTAAACCCTGTAACCTCTGTATCCTCGGAGAGCACACTGCAGAAGTCCACGGTGCACGACGGGACTCCCCGCGAGCCGTGTAAGGTCAGGAGCGGCTCGGCAGGCACCGTGCCGCAGTAGTCCAGCGACCTCAGCTCCGACGCGTCGATGTCGACAGACTTCATGTTGTGACAGCAGCGAAGGGCGAACCTGCGGAGGCGTTTGTCGAGGACGGATACTCTCTTCAGGCGGTGGACAGCTTCCAGCGTTAGGTCGGTGAGGCGGGGGCAGCCGGAGATCAGCCGCTGGATGCTCCTCCCACCATCGGAATGGGGAGCCGTGATGCTCAGAGTCTCGAGGAGCGGCAGGCTGACGGCCGCCGGCAGTTTCAGCCGGCAATAGGCGACGCATAGCGTCCGTATGACCCTGCAGGTGAAGAGCCTTCTCGGGAGGACATATACCCACCGCCTCCTCAGCTTGGCGAACCTGTCCTCGTCGTCGGTGTTGTCGGTGCCGCTGTCCACCGCCTCGTCCTCTTTCTTATCGCGGAGGAGACAGATCGGGGCGATCTTGAAGCGCAGGTCGAGGTGGAGCTCCTGGTTGCCGTGCCGCAGCACGTAGGAGAGCCACTGGTCAACGTGGACGAAGTTCCAGTGGTGGCACCGGTCGAAGGCGAAGCGGAAGCTGCGCAGCGGCACGTGGTGGCCGGCGGTCCGGCGGCGGCAGAGGAGCGCGGAGCAGACGTCGTCGAGGAGCGCCGCGCTGCAGCTCTTCTTCTCCTCCGCCTCGTGGTAGAAGGTGGTCCAGTCGTTGGCGCTGGCGCCCGGGCGCTCCCCGAAGGAGACGGCGTGGACGTTGCAGAACACGTCGCGCCACCGCCGGGACAGCCCCGCGGCGCGGCCGGCCTCCTTGTTCGGGAGGAAGGAGAGGACGTGGCCCAGCAGGGGGTCCGGGAGGTCGCTCAGGCGGTCTCTGCTCCCCGCCGTGCCCTTCCTTTTCTTTTGCGGCGGCGGCGAAGCCATGCCGATCCGATATATCCGGCGATTAAGCCGTCGATCTGGGAAAGGTGGCTGCCGTTTGCAACGACTAAGGGTTTAAGTGGACCGAATCTCGTGAAGTTACCGACTAATCACGCACCGTTCTTTCGGGTTAAGCTTGTTGGCAACCGACTAAAATCAGAGCCAGATTTATTGGCAACCGACTAATCACGCGTCGTATTTGATGTTGCAAGATCAGCACTACCTCTGTCCAAGTGCCTAGTGAACAGACTTAGGCCTCTGTTGGATGGAATTATCTCTCCTGAGCAAAGTGCCTTTGTGTCTGGAAGAATGATAACGGACAATGCACTAATTGCCTTCGAATGCATACACCATATCAAGCAGGAAAAGGACCCAACAAGAAGCTTCTGTGCATATAAGCTGGACCTATCAAAAGCTTATGATCGGGTAGATTGGACTTTCTTGAAGCAAGTGATGCAAAAGCTGGGTTTTGATCATCGGTGGATTGACTGGATTATGACTTGTGTCACATCGGTGAGATATTCGGTAAGATTTAATGGAACCCTCTTGGATTCATTTGCACCGTCGTGTGGACTACGGCAAGGTGATCCAATTTCCCCCTTCTTGTTTCTGTTTGTTGCTGATGGGCTGTCTGCAATTCTACGACAACGTGTTGATGCGGGACAGATAGCACCAATGAAGATCTGTCGACGAGCCCCTGGCATATCTCACCTACTTTTTGCGGATGACACACTTCTTTTCTTTGAGGCTTCGAGAGATCAAGCTGCACAAGTTAAAGATTGCCTTGAGATGTATGCGAAGGGCACTGGCCAACTTCTTAACTTTGATAAATGCTCCATTATGTTTGGAGAAATGTTCCCAGTTGAGGCACAGGAGGATGTTCGGGAGGTTCTGAATGTAATTGTTGCAGGGTTTGAAGATAAATACTTGGGGCTGCCAACCCCTGATGGGAGAATGACAAAGGGTCGGTTTCAAAACCTACAAGCTCAACTTATGAAAAGATTAATGCAATGGGGTGATGGGCATCTAGCACAACCAGGTAGAGAAACTTTAATCAAGTCTGTTGCGGAGGCACTCCCAGTCTTCATCATGGGAGTGTTCAAGCTGCCTTTCTCGGTCTGTGATGATCTTACGGAGATGGTTAGAAATTTTTATTGGGGAGCAAAAAAAGGGCAATGTAAAACACACTGGAAATCCTGGGATAAGCTTCAGAGACCAAAGAGCAAAGGTGGCGCAGGTTTTAGAGATTATCGATTGTTTAACCAGGCATTATTGGCAAGGCAGGCGTGGAGATTGTTGACTAGGCCTGAAAGTCTATGTGCCAGACTGCTTAAAAGCAAGTACTATCCCAATGGTAAACTTGAAGACACGGTTTTCTCAGGGAACACCTCTTCAACTTGGACTACAATCAGTCATGGTCTTGATCTCCTTAAGAAAGGAATAATTTGGAGAGTAGGGAATGGCAACAATATCAGAATATGGAGGGATCCCTGGATCCCTGGATCCCTAGACCTTTCTTTTACAGACCCATATCATTTCAAGGCACTTGCAGATATAGATATGTGTCGCAACTACTGCAACGCAATGGTGCATGGAATTATACTTTACTGCAAGAAGCATTCTGGCCATGTGATGTTCAGGAAATATTGAAAATAAGAGCATCACCGAGGCTCGAGGAGGATGTTATTGCTTGGGGCCCAACGAAAAGTGGGGTTTTTTCTGTGAAATCGGCATATGATTTAGCCTTTGAGGAAACGTACAAAAGCACTGCTGAATCGTCAAGCACTGCTCCGGACGGCCGTAGGGCTTGTTGGAAGCTCATTTGGAACAGCATTGTGCCACCTACAGTAAAAAACTTTGCATGGTGTGTTGCGGTGAACTCCCTTCCAACGTGGCAAAACAAACACAAGCGCAATTTAGAAACAGTTGGGACTTGTCCAATTTGTGAGAGGGAAGAGGAAGATACTTTCCATGCTCTTTGTAAGTGCCCTCTGGGAGTTCAGTTGTGGGAATGCATGTCAACCGTTTGGAGTTTACCAAAACGAGAGGATCTGAAAAACACAGGCACTAAATGGCTGCTGGAAGTGCTCCAGCCACGGTCAGAGATAGAGAAGGGCATGTTGCTTATGTGTCTGTGGCGGGTGTGGCATAATCGAAATGAGATAACACACAACAAAGAACCACCCCCGATGGAGGCATCGAAACGGTTCTTGATGGGATACTTGGACTCATTGATATCGCTCAAGTATTCAGACGAGGAGCTTCTGAAAGGTAAACAGGTGATTGCTTACTGCTTGCCTGAACCGCCAGCAAGAACAACGGTTGCTCACAACATCCCATGGGTTTTGCCTACGGAGGGTTGGTCAAAGCTCAACGTTGATGGCTCCTGGTCTCTAGAGGGGAAGGCAGGAGCTGGCATGGTCCTCCGTGACAGCAAGGGCGGGATCATATATACATCATGCAGGGAGCTCTTTTCATGCAGGAGTGCATTGGAGGCTGAACTAAGCGCATGTATGGAGGGTCTATCGCTAGCGATTCAGAGGACGGATCTACCTATTCAAGTAGAAATGGACTCCCGGGAGGCTTTGAATATGATCATGAATGAGTTGCCTGATAGATCACTTTTCTCATCATTGGTGAAAGAGATCAAGTACCTGAGGAGTCTTCGCAATACAACTTTCAAGTATGTTCATCGTAGTCAAAATAATGTTAGTGACTTTTTGGCAAAATTTGCTAGAGCTGAGAGTAGAACAGTAGTATGGCTTAACTCTGGTTTATCAGAGGTCATTGAACTTTGTAATGCAGATTGTGGACTTACCACTTGAGAATACAAAGTTTAAACCGCAAAAAAAAGCACTACCTCCAACAAATCCTGGTTACTTTTTTTTGTAGTTAGAAATCCTGGTTGCTTTACCAAGAACATTCACATACTGTTGAGATCAGCAGGGCTATCCATAATTCTACATCTGCCATGCACAAAAAGAACAAGACTGAAAACAAAGCATATACTCCGTATATCATTTTGACACCTGATGATTGAAAAGGCAATAGATGCGGGGAAGCACTAACTGGAAGAGCATAGGCAGTTCCCCTGAATCTCGGGATCCGATCGTCGGCACAGAGATACTTTACTCGAGAGAGAAGCAGGAAAAAATGGAATTTATCAGTGCTAAAATGATCGAATGGCACGAATTAGTCATCCCCTCCAGTGTGGCTATACCATGATACTTTGATCCCTTGAATTCCAGTGACTACCATTTCTAGGTCTGCCCCAACAGCAGTGTTTTCTGCAATTCCCTCATGCTCCTAAAAGACGAAGAACCCTGAAAGAAACAAGCACTTGAGTTAACTCTATAGCAACAGGAGGTGAACACCTGCATTACATGCATATCGGCAATCCATAGGACATAACTTTGACATAAGCAATCATTTCTCAAAAGAATTTTTTTTTGACTAAGCAATCCTGAAACTAGGGGAGTACACACATACCAGCCCAATCTCCTGGAGAAGCAGTCATGGTCCAGAGACACTGCAAGAGCAAGAGCCACAGCCCTCTCGGGTAAATCCAGCGGCAGAAAGACGCGAAGGTCGTTGTCCATCTGGAAGCACCAATGAAATTTGAGTTTCAAATCAGCTTAACAATCAGGCAGAAGCTTTTAAACTCTCATCAAGGGAGAACACTTACATCTTTAGCGAGACAAAAACCTTTATCTGTGCCTTTTCCAGCATCACCAAACCAAACTTCATACTGGGCAGCACCCGTGAAGAGCTGCATGCGGTGAGCATGAAACCAAAGTTATGCTCATCACTCCTTACTAGTACTCGCAATCCAATTCTTTCTACATCGACAATAGCTTAACAAACAGAAAATCATAAAGCAAAATCATGCGCTCAGTTTGTATCACAAGCACAAAGTTCCCAGCCAAAGTGGACTCATCCTAAAGCAAAATCATATCATTCTCAAGTGGATGTGCATGTCATATACCGCCGCGCGCAGAAGCAGTGTCAAGCAATAACATCATAGCGCGTATATGCGCGGGTCACATCACAGCATGGGGTATCCTCTAAATATAATAAATATAGTAAACTGAAAATTAGTATTTGGTTGTCCAGTCAAAAGGACATTACCTCCAAACCAACTCCCCTAATCTTGCGATCAATTATGGCTACTAAATTATCATCCTCATCAAGCAGGGTAAAGGACCAGCTCCAAAATCCAGGATTCTCCACCACAGCAAACTGCCTATTCCTGATGAACAGAAATGTTGGCAAATTAAAATGTCAGTCAGTATAGCAAGACTAGCGGAAACCAAGAAAACTGACTAAATCAGAGTTAAGGGAAGAAGATCATGTTACCCTAAGTACAAGTCATAATTTCTACGCCAAAGATGCCAACGACTGTGGACTACACCTACCTCCTGGCCAAAGAGAAACCATAATCACAACCATTGCTGTATATTCATAACAATCAAGTAACAAATATCTCTGTACCTTGCCATCCACTTCTGCATAAATGGAGCTGTTGATCCACCTAAAAGGCCGGCGAACCTAAATCCAACAATAAAAAATTGAACTTAATCTAATGTATATTGAGCGTATTCACAATGGTACAAAGCAATGGGTTACTGAGATCTTACCGTGAATATCTCATTACCCTTGGCATCAGTAAACTCTGCAATGAATGGTCGCCTTGTCCTAAGTAGCTGAAACATCAGCAAAAAGTATCTGGTAGTCAATTATATTACAAGGCAGTCATTTACATCAAGAGAACAATGAATAAATAAATACGAAAGATAATAAGATACATCCCCACTCAAGAAAAGAAGAAGATAACAAAGACCTTTGCTCATGAGGTTTCATATTTTTCCTTGAGAAGGAATAGTACTAATTTCATGATAGTGTAAAGTTATTTTTTTCGTGTTTGGCTCACCAAAGTATTTTAGTCGCCACTAGCTAGCAAGCGTCACAATCCTTCCACTTTCTCATGTTTTGCACAACTAGTTGCTTGCTCACTGTGAGTCTGTGATACATATAACATGTGACTGCACATTTGAGAGGTGCTAAAACTAGTCGGTGATTTAACGCGCTAGTGGTACTAGTAGCATGCCAAAAGTTTCCTTGAGAAGAGGGAAGTGAGAACATATGCAAGAACTAGATACATGGGCAGTTGTGGCCAAATTGCTTAACTCATCGTGACCATTTTTTATGGACTTTAGCCAAAAAAACTTGATCATGAGGTTCTCTAGTACTGGTGGGAGTAAGTTAGATTCTCTAACCTTTATGCCATACCACAGTTAGTACCACGTGGATGGAACACATCGTACATATCAAATTCTGCAGGAGAACTAATCATTTTTCTATCGAAAAAACCTCCATTGAATCGAAACCGAAACAGAGTACAATAATATAGTCATTTCAAAGCATCCCAACAACTAGTCAATATGGTAACATACTTATTCCCCACCAACACCCCTGTCCAGCCCAACAAAAAACAATGTAATGGTCCTCTTATGAAGAAAAAACTTCACTTATCTGTCGAACTGATGAAACATATGACCAGTACACATGATGCATGGTCCCATGATGATGATTTAGATGGAGAAAAGCAATGCAGGAAGTATAGGAACTACTCACTCCGTTCCTAAATATAAGTCTTTTTAGACATTTCAAATGGACAACAACATACGGATGTATGTAGACATATTTTAGAGTGTAGATTCACTCATTTTGCTCCGTATGTAGTCACTTGTTGGAATCTCTAGAAAAACTTATATTTGGGAACGGAGGGAGTAGTAAAATAGATTGTGTCATACAACAGAATACAGCAGTCAGCAGCATAACTAAAACTGAGAAGTCCAACTATTATGACACAACTAATTTGGTATTTGGAGCAGTGCATTATATGTAAAAGTTATCATGTGACCACCAAAAATTCTGATCTCAGAACAAAATCTTCAAAATCAGTATGATGCGATACAAATATAGTTAGAACCAACTGAACGCACAAACGTACCTGCCTAAGGATGACATTACTTTTCTCTCGAATTAAACCCACAGGCTGGCATTGGAAGAACAAACAAGCCAACCGTTACGGCCTAGAAAACGGAGCAAAAATAGTACAGGATAGTACATGAATGGAACCTCTGGTGCAGTCTGGAAAGAGAGACACTCACAGTTTTTCTCCGAGGAGTGCGTGGATCCTTTATGATGTATCTGGACTCCTGAGGTTCAGATGATAATAGTGACAACTGAGTAAGTTGACTGAGAGAAGAAAAATACAGGGAGCAGGACTTGGGGAATTCTCTTGGGCTATGCAGGTGAAGTTGGTTACAGATACATCACCTGCGCATATGCAAACATGATACTTGCCCATTCTACTTTCCTGGTAATGATTAGTCTGGCCCTTGAGAGCAGAGGCTTCAGTTTGGCCTATAAATATGCACACAGAGAAGCAATCTCGATCATTCCAACAGCTATGTATGTACACATTGATACAGGGAAACAGCCACAGCACTACAGCAGGATGAAGCATCAACCATCAAGTAGACCTTTTAACTGACTGGCCAGTATCCTACTATCATCCCCACCAAAATGTTGTACATTTTACACTGTCTTCAGCATTTTCCCCACCAAAATGTTGTACATTTTACACTCTCTTCAGCATTTCCCCCCACCAAAATATTGCACGACACGATCTTACCACCATTTCCAAGCAAAGGTCTCGATTCCTCGAACTCATCAAGTAGTCTCTTTGATAGACTAGTTGCAACAATTAGACTGCAGCGTCAGACCCAACGGGGCATAGAAAGTTGCGGTGAGAAACTGAGAATCCGCTTGCCTGTACGCGCGCGGAGTCGAGGTCTTGATGCAGGCAGACCCCCGACGGCGCGCCCTCCTCGCCGGCCGTTCCCCCGCCGCTCGCGAGCGCCGCCACATTGGGGTCGACGAACGAGGGAGCGGCGTCACCGGGCGAGACCTTGCCATCGCCCTCGGCCGCGCGCCTCCCCGGCCTCTTCGCGGCGCCCCGCTGCTTCTTCGGCTCTGCGCGCCACAGCCCCCGCAGCCAGGCCCACGACCACGGCCGGGGCGCCCGCCCGCGGCGCCCGCCGCCGGCGCTCGCGAACCCACGGCTGGGGGTGGTCCTCGCCGAGACCCTCCCGGTCGCGACCGCGGCCGCGTGGTTCCAGCTCATCGGAGAGAGGGGGGAGGGGGGAGAAGCGCGGGGGTGGTCGAGCTCACCGGGCGGCGCCGCTGGTAAGGGTTTTTGCCGTTTTGGGCAGCAAAGGTGGTGCGGCGGCCCTCCTACGTGAGCAAAGTTGAAGCATTTTGGGGACTCCCCAAAATGTTCAGAACCCGCTCCGCTCTTTAGATTTTCCTGGACCCGCGCGCAAAATCGCGAAACCAGCTCCGGCCGCACGGATGATAGGCCGGCCTGACTAGATGGGCTTCTGGCCCAGTTCGGTACGAGATAATAAGTACTACGTTTAATGAGGCCCAGTTCTTTTGACTTGATTATGGGGAGAAAATC